TGTGTTTATTACTATTAATGCAAACTAATAAAAAATACCATTTATATTTACTGTTCACAGTTTGTGTTACATAAATTATTCTGCACTTCGCAACACCCACAGATTTTGTGGAGAAAAGGAGGGGAAACATTTTACATGCTCAGGAAGAAGACCTTCAAATCTACTGTCTGTAGTGTCTTCGCCTAGCCTTCAGATTACTTACAAACAATCCACTATCAGCTTTTAAAGTGAAACAAAATGGAGATTCTCCTCTTAAAGGTGTTAACTTTGAATCAACACTTTTTTAAAACGTGTTAGGCAATACTCTATTCTCCTCAAGAAAATAATACATAGAATTAAGTAACCAAAATGAAAAGAAACTGGATTATCATTCTACACCAATGTATAAAGGCAGGTGCATGGCATTTTCTTTAACAATAACAAACAAAGAAACTTTTAGATAACATTTCTAATTTTCTTTAATTGTTACCTTTTTGGCATTAAACAATTGTAATTAAGCAGTATTTATATAAAAATGTAAATATTAACATTAGAGGCATTGTACTGAAGTAAAAAATAAATACACATAATTACATAAATATACAAAAAGTTCACAAGACTGAAACAATTAAGCTAATACTGCAATTTGATTTAAATTATCTTAAAATGCTGTAAAGACAATAATTAACTTATAATTAAGTGTAACATTCCAAGTGATTGGTTAGTTACTCCAGAGAGTCAGCTAATCATCTTAACCAGTCTTGTGCCCGTTAGAAAGAAAGAAGGGCAATGTTATTTGATAATGAGGTAGACGTAAAAGTCTGGCTTAGGAATGTGTTATCAGAAATAAAATAATGTGTCCCTTGTAATTCTTTTCATTGCAGGTGTTGGAACTTTGCAAGGAATTTTCTTGTAAAGCTAAAACATTTTACTGAGAAGAAAAAAACTTCATGAGAAAACCTTCACAATATATTTTAAAATCTTAATTTCATGACAAAGCTTGTCTGAACTGCCTTTAAATTTAACATTTATGCCACTCTGAAAGGAAACTAAACATTTAAGATAAACAGCAGAATCAGCAAATCTATACAGCAGGTAAGGCTTTCAAACGCAGGAGCGCATGAATTTTAAATAGTAAAAATGGTCACATAAAATAGCACCAACATAACCTTAAAATCAGTTGCAAGTCTTCAATTTGTGATTTCTCCCTTGTTGTGAAGAAGCACCATTAAGATGATATAAATTAATGGCTAATTAATGTTTTTTGTTTGGTGAGGTATAGCAATGAACATTTTCACGTGGATAGAGTTGCTTTGGTTACACTCACAGAAGTTATTTACAAATGAAAACAGAAAATCTAAAATGCTATTCATATACAACACCTTCTGCATAAAGTGCTTTAGCATATAATGGATATGCCAATGTTTTCATTAATCTTCTACTCCTACTCCACGCAAGATGACCTGATAAAGACACTTGCAGCATAACATCATTCCTTTACAGTGCCAAAGTGAAAAGATAGAGACAAAAACCAGTTCATACTCCAGTCAGCACTAAAATGCAATGCTAAGATAAGTCCTCAGACAATGAAATTCAAATTTAAGTTATCAAGGTGTTCCAGTACACATATTAGTACATATTAGATGGATATAAACATCTCTGGAAAAGCTGAAAAAAATATATCTCTTCTGAATGTAGCCTGCTCACATTTTTCTAACAGAAGAAAGCGATTGCTTCCTCACTTGAAATATACCAAAGAAATATTGAGTTGTATCTGTTTCAAGTTCAGTAAACAAATTAATCAGTAGAAATGATAAAGGTTCCGACATTTCAAAGTAAGAATTTTTAACTTGTTTGCTGTGATAAAAAAAAACATAATCCTGATATACAAACAAATATAAAATAGAATATTACATGTACACAATAATCAGGTACAAGCACACTGATATAATTTTGTTGCAGATTAACTGCATTGGTCTTCATATTGTAAAGTACCGTATATACACAAGTTAAGAAAATGCTTAATAAATTATTAAAAAAATATTATTTTTCTTTGATTTCTTTTGATCAAGAAAATTAATACTGATTCTTAATTATAGAAGAACATTAACACAAACAACAGGAAATTTCTGCATAGGGGTCACTTAAATATATATACATACGTTGTAGCTTATAGCATACAGGTCTCCTGGTATGTTATCAGTGTGCTTTGCATACTACACAGCATTATTATTCTAAATGTACAACTTAATATGATGAATGCTGCTGCACGCTTAAAGGTTTAACTGTGAACTGTATCCCTGGAGAGGAAATGGATAGTCTAGCTTTATGAATAAACTTCTCTGCAAAATGAGTATTTTCTCAAGGTTGTGGAGAGTGTAAACTCCATACAATAAAAGCCATCCTATAAAAGCACAAATATTCATGACCGTACCAAACTCCAAGGGTTGGTGTTCCAGTGTGGGTCGGAGGGACAGGCTTGAGTATTGCACTGCTCCCGATCTGGTGGTTTGTCCAGAATCTCACAGCTCAGGTCATTGAAACGTTCGCCATTGGGCCGCTGACACACCACAAGCCTGGTCTTTATTCCCCCACCACAGGTCTTGGTACACTAGACAGAGGAGCACACACACTTTTGAATACAATCTCTACCCTTCACGCAGCACAAATCCAACCTCATCCTGCCTCTTTAAGGACAAAGCACAGTGTATGATAAAGCCTGAAAGCAAGGATGCAGTAGTTACAGCATTTAAGAAAACACGTGGCTCATATTATTGGGCTAACATGTTATAATGTAATTTCTGCTATAAATCATTGCACAAATAACTGTAGGAAGGACATTAGCAAAACAAGTAAATTAGGCACCCACCATCAATTTATATACATTAATTTACATAATTATACAAGTCTGACAAAGAATCTTTATTTACAAGGTAAGACAAATGAAAATAATTTTCCACTGACATTGACAACATGGGAAGATGTCAAGTTCAAGAGTACCACAGTGACCCCCCTTGGGATTTTAACCCACAACCTCCAACTTTCAAATTCAGAGCCCTAACCTCTACTCCACATTGATGCGTCTGATTTTATAAAAACAGACTTGCCTCCACTAGGGAGCAAAATGAGCTTGAAGACAGCACAATGCCACTTTTTCATTCTTTCCATGTAATAACACTCTTATATAGCACACATTGTAGCTGCTAATCAATGCTAATAGAGATTAGATCTCATACAATTCCTGTTGTAAACAAAAACCTTACCTCTCCCCAGTTACCATAAGCCCACTGCGGACAGGGGCCAGATTCACATGATCGCTGCTCTATGGGTTTCGTTGTACCATCACAGTTCACAGCTGCGTACCCATTCTCATCCTGACAGACAACAACACGGCGCTGGAATCCTCCTGCGCAAGTACTTGAACACTGTTGTAAGAAATGGCATTGGGTGAGGTGAGTACAGCACATGGATGATTTTTACAATGTATTAGTAATAAATCTGTAATATTAAAGACATTTATTACTATTGGAAGAATTGAACATCGAGTGTTTGAAAATTAAGGAGAAACAGACATTCACCGATGAAATGTAGCAACATTATGGGGAGCTCACTGTAACAGTATGAACAGAGCAAAGCAGGCACAGATAGCATGTACTGAATACACTGAAATCAAACAATCCTAAAGTGAGAGGTCTCTCAAAGAAAGTAAACCAACTTAATATTTTCCTGTTAGAAGGAACATGACTTTAAAACTAAACACCTAAATTATTATAACATTAAAGTTTCCCAACAAATGCATGTGTGCAGCAAAAAAGAAAACATAGTATATATGGAGAATTTAGCCGAATGATAACACCTTGAAGTTTTCCCAAAGATCTTCATATATAGAAAAACCCAACAGTCTATGACAGACATCAATAGGTCAAAGGAGACACATTTAATGTGATTCATATGTTAGAATTTGAGCAGATAAGTATTTTTATTGTTTAGTCTTATTACTCCTAGGGATAAGAAAATACTTAAGTGATATAGGATTAAATGTGTGCTCGGTGTGATGTATTGCAATTAAAAACACAATAAAAACACAATAATAAAAATCTGTAAAAATTTCCATTGAAAAAGACATGATTTTAATCACTGCAAGAACAGTGAAAGGTATGATTGTGTCCCACATGAGCAAAGAACATCAGCTGGCTGCTATCTGCATGACTGAAGGCAGCCTGTCTGTGACAGGCGAGTGAGACAATCTGCTTCAACAACCAGCAGGCTGGTTCTGTGAAGGACAACCCACATCACAGAAGGGAAAAGGTACCTATACTGTTCAGGAATATCACTTTTGGCTGACTAATCTCTGTAATTGTCTTCAGACTGCGGTGGCTCGATAAAATCCAACAAGAAATAATCCACTTATGAGAGGAAGGACTGTAGGATTCCCCCTTTGCATGAGAAGGAGCCATATGCTCAGAGGTCTACGGGAGTAAAAATGTTGACCACAGAGAAACAAACCATATTCTTCAGGCCAGTGTACATCTGAGATTCTGTTACTCACAAATGAATACCACGGCATTTGTCAAGGTGAGAATATGTGGTGAATGTTATTATTGCTGCTGTGTTTGTTTAGCTAGCAAGACAGGATCTTATCAATACAAGAATACTTTAGTCCAGGCTGATAGTAACCTTACAGCTCAGTGATACAGGAACAAAGTCCTTTTGCTCACAGATTTCCTTACAGAACAATATAAGAACACACAGAACAGGGATTAAGCTTTTTTAATGACTACCAGAACTTCTGTGGGACCAACTTAGCAGTGCCATCAAGAGGAGACAGCTGTGATTGGCCATGGTTGACCAACTGGTTGCAACTGCACAGGATGAGGGAAAACTTCCCACAGCAGTCTACCCATAGGCTGATCAGGCATATGCATCACCACTACCAGAACTGTATTATTCCTCGGGGGTGTCAGACCTGACAACTGAACTTAAACAGCACCTGAAATGTTTTCATTTTGACAGTGTGCCAAAAACAATGCATTTGTGTTCACATGTTCTTAGATGTTTATATTCCAAATCCATCCACCCATTATCTTGAAGCAGCTCACTCTGGAAAGGGTAACGGCAACCCAGGGCCTTCCCTGAAGGTATAAAAGTTTGGAATGAGAGCACATGACTTCTCTCCCATGAATGGGACACATGTCCATCACAAGATGAAAGAGAAAAAAAAATCAGAAAAGTCAATTAAACCATGTCTTTGGGAGGTGAGAGGAAAATGAAGGACCCAGAGAAGACCCAGAGTTTTAATTGAATCCAGGACCAAAGAGCTGTTAAGCAGAAGTTCTAACTGCTATGCCACTGTGCCAACCCTCCATTAAAAATATATGGATTTAATCAAAAGCTCTTGGTATTGTGATTCTGCTTTGTTATACTAAAAATGAAAGTGAAAAACAACTTAAGCTTTAAGTAGAAAAACAAGCACTCCACTGTCCATGTGTCAACCCTCTATGGCATACGTGTTTTTCAGCTTTGGACAAAAAGAAGCCCATTTTAGAAGTGACTTTTAAAGCACCTCTCACTTAAAACAGACAGAAAAATAAGACTGATGGAGAGCAAATAGCTTGTATTTTTGATTGTTAAAAATGCTGGACCACGGGGAAGTAAAATGTGTTGAATGATGAGAAATGAGATGTGATCAGGGACCCATTTGCCTTGTGTCTGCAGTATATAAGATGAGAAAAAGGAGGACAAAGTGGATGCTCATCTGCATAGTAAAAATATTAACAGAAAGCATTTAGAAAGAGAACAGAAAGGGTTGAGGTTTATTGACCAATCTTTGCAAAGCCTTTGAAGAAGTCCGTATGGGAAGGCGGAATAACAAGGAATCATCAATTTAGATGTACAAAAAGCATTTGAGGAATCTCAGTACAAAAGATTAGTCTTAGAGCTCCAATCAGCGGGGGGCCTGTTACGTGCATGTTGATAGATACAGAAGCAAAGAGTAATTGCGAAGGAGCAACTGCTGCAAGGTATACGGTAATGAGAGGGTAAGGCTGAGGCTAGAACTCAAAACCCCTTCTTTTTGTTCAAAGGCTCTCATGTAGTATGAAGTACAGTTAGTAAATGCATTACAGCAGGAGAGCAGACTGCAGCAGAGGAAGAGAAGAAAGTTGGTCAGACGACATATAAACAGAAAATCTAATTCAAACCAGGTACTACTGTGAGCAAGAACCCCTGTCAGTTACTGTTCCCATCAGCCTTTTTTTTATTATTGTGTAAAAAAATAAAAAAAACTTATCTTATTTTAGGGACTACTGTATTCAAAACTGTATTGATTTGAAGGAATAAACTAATATTTATGCCAAATTCTTACATCAAGATATATTTCAATGTATGCTTAACTATAAGGTTTGGATAGTGTCAGTTATGGCTTCCTGCTGGATTGCATGAACAATTATGTAGAAATCAATAGTTGGGCTCCCATTTGGCTACCAGGATGCACTTGGTAAATCTTGCCTGGTTTATTTGACCATGTCTCGCTCAGGAGTTCCACTGGGTTCTGTGATGGGATCTTAATTTAGTATTTACATGCTGCCTCTTTGCCATCATCATTTGCTTTTGGTTTCACCTTTAAGCTGATGAAACTCACATTTCAGCACTTTACAACTTTGTCTGGTATTAAGATATGGAGGCAGCAACTTTAACAAGATACAGACTGGCTCTTAAGGAAAATTAGAGTGGATTGTAATCTGACTCGTTAGGTACTGTTTATTTTGAAGATTTATAGAAGAGTATTTATACTCTGCCTTACTCTACCAGTGTGCAACACTACATTTGTGAAACTCACTGCCTCGATCAATTAGGTTGAGACAGACTAGGTGACTCAATATTTTTGAAACGCACTTAAAAGACCCATCTTTTCAATATTTAGGTGTATTTTTCTTTTTTTACTTTGGGTATGTGTAATTCATGTTGGGAGTTTTAAGTTTCTTGCATCTGACAATTGTGCAAAATCAAATGTAAAATGACACTCAAAATCTCATTAATAGTGGTTATGCTCAATCCTTTACAAGCCTCTCAACACAAGGCCAGACCTCAGTTTCCATAGCCTTCAGTGAACTGAGAGTACATGATTTGACCAATGATTGTATTTATCCATAACAGCTGTGCTGACTTAGTAATCAGGGTAAACTATTTTACTCAAGGATATAACAGCAGGGATTGAACCAATGACTCTGGCTACAGTTCGACCCTAAGCACTGCTCCAAACCTCCCTGTGTTGTTCCTGTAGTTATTAATCAACGGTGACTTACTGCTCCCCAGGGTCCTGTTCTCCACTGGTGAGATCCGTGGATATGCATTCGACCAGCATTGCGAATAGAATTCCCTGGTGATGAAGCCTTAATGCGGGAGTCTGGATTGGTGGGAAATTTCCCTTGGTCACTGGAGCGTGTAGGACACTGGGGCATGGCACAGTCCTGCTCCACAGCTGGACGGTCGTCTGGATCACACTCACTCACGTCCACAACCTGATCACTGAAGTTCACGCAAACTACTTGTCTCGTCGCCTTCCCTTGACCACAAGTCACAGAGCACTAGAAGAATACACAAAGAAGAATCAGACTGAAAAAATATTCGAAAACATTAGAGGACTGCAGCTCAATAAAAACCCCAGAGATGATTATATTTAAAATAATATCTTGTTGCAAGAAAACAACAAGGTCAATGCTTTTGGACACAGATCTTACAGAGTCTTACTGTGCACCTGGAGTCTCCGTCTCTGAAGAAAGAACTCAGATTGCACTGAAAGTAACTTGATTATGAAAGTCAAGTACAGCTACAGAGCCATCTGAGTGCTCGTGGGGTCAGCTTATACTTGTTCTACAGCCCTGAGTTTTAGAATTCTACTTAACCACCACCAACATCAGTTTGCTGTACAATACAGACAGCAAATGCATAAATACAAGACAACATCTTTTAAATAACAAATGCAAACACACTTCTGATAATTCAAAATAAAAAGTACAGATTACTCTGCATTCAACTTGAATGGCTTCACACAGCCAGAGCCAGTAATGTCAAGGCAAAGGATTTCACTATCTGTTCCAAAATATGCAACAAACACTCCTCTTCAAGGCCAATAGTGTACACACACGTGCAATGTAACAAACATTACTAACTGTATTACAGTTTAATATAAACTGAATAACTGTACTATTCAGTAAATGTTCATTAAATTAAATAACTTGCCAAACAGGGGAATTTGAAGTATAATATTTTTTAAATCTCAACAGATGTGAAATTAACACTTATCTGTGATTTGGTCTGGCAGACGGGGTCTCTTACGGCAGAGTAAGAAGAGCTCAGCTGGATGAAACCGAGCCAAAGCTGTTAACTACAACTTTCAAATTAATGACCAACAGACTAGGATCATGAGGCGATTCTAGTTAGAGAGTGAGGCTCTCAATGCTGCCTACGGAAGTACGTAGCACATGGCATTTGCATCTCATCTTGGTTTTGTTCTTGGCCTGGTTCTCTGTTTAGTGGCTAATGACAGACTGGAGATGACTTTACAGGCTCAATGACGGTTTTATTCCCCTTGCATCTTGCATGTGCATAGTTGATAATTCAAAACAAGCTGTGTTCCTTCATATGAAATAATTTGTGAGCTAACTGTAAATTTCTATACCTACTTTATACCAGCTATACCAACATGTGCTCAGAATTCGACCTGTTTGTGCCTTCACTTCAAAATTTGCTAAAGGCTTTGTTAGTTTCTCCATGTAAATGGCATTTATGTCTGTATTACTTTCCACGCTAAGTGCATGTACTTAATTTTAATCAAGAATGAAATGCTGAAACTCCTGTCTCTGCCAGTCTGTTGTCTCTAAATAAATGGCTTCCTGCTTTACTGAAACCTGCATTAGATTTTGAGTGAAATAAAACAGGAATAAGAATGAAAGTCTTCCCCACAGACCCTGCAGCAGATTGCTTCAATCTGTGACCACAGAATCTGATTTTCTCTAGATTTCTAAATCTGATTAAAAACATGTGTACACAAAGCTTGCTCCTAAACGTTCCCCTATTTTCAGGAGCTCCACAACTCTAACAGCAACTTCTATGTAAGTTGTAACTGTTGAAATTGAAATGAAGCATGGCAAAGAAAACTGGACATTCAATGGAAAAATTCCATATTTGGAAAAAAAAACATTTAAATTTGCTGAAATTATTGAAAATTAACATTTGAATAATGTGAAATTCACATGTGTTAAAGGACTCAAAACATAGATCACAACTTTTTTGGAGAATTTTTGGCCGGGGGGGGGTTAATGGTGGGGGATGGGGGGTATTGCTGGAGCCTATCCCAGCAAGCAACGCGTACAAGGCAAGGTCCCCCCTGGATGGGACGCCAATCCATCACAGTGCATACAGACACAAATACACACTCACTCACACCAGGTCCAATTTTCTCAGAAATCAATTCACCTACCAGTATGCTTTTGGACTGTGGGTGGAAACCCATTTGAACATGGGAAGATAGTAGGAACATCAAGCGAGTAGCACCCCAAGTCTGGAATTGAACCCAGGGTCCCAGAGCTGCAAGGCAGCACTGTGCTGCCCAACTCCTCATCCATTAATTGTAAAGGAGAGTTTTATCTACCCCAAGGAAAGGTCCTACTGTGCAAATGTCTGTACTTTTGTGAATGTCAAACAATTAACCTGGTACTAACTGACATAATTCTAACTGATTTACAGACATTTTACACCAGTATTTTCACAACAAGGTTTATTGTCCCTTACCGAGGTCCATTCCAGTACTTTCCATTGCCCACAAGACACGACGGAGCAGGTCTCTCTGGCAGGGGGTTTGGGCAGGTGAGCACAGGCCGACTCCTCAGCTACCCCACCCTGGTAGTCCCTGCAGCTGACATAGCGCATCCTGGTACCCTTCCCACATGTCACACTGCACTGTGGAAAGAGGCAGAATTACAATTAGATTGTGTGTGCAAGCAAAATGTATTTTAGTTCCTACAATGAAAAGGAAAACCTGAGATCAGCTACTGATTATGGAATGATGCAATGGAAACCTTCCATGAGGAACTGGGTTTGTAATTTGTAGCTGGAAGGTGGGTGAAAAACTCTGACTTAGTCTATCTGCCCAAACGATTCTTTACCTGAGTCCAGGATCCAAACCGCCACTGGGTTCTGTGACCATGAGTAGGCACTTTGGTTTCTGGAACAACGGGACGCACAACAGGACAGGGTGTTACTTCACAATCCTACAAAAAAACAAGGATAACTTTCTTAAAGCACTGAAGCAAGGGTCAACATGCACAGGAGTAAGTGAGATAACATGATACAGCGCAGTCTGCACACTGGTAATGTTACACAGCTCCTCTGTGTGAGTTCAGCAAGATTGATCGTTTTTGCCATTCCATTCCACAATCCAGAGTGTGCTTTCCCACAATATATGCAATTGCATCTTTTGATTGGCCACAGAGATCACAGTGTTATTTACACAAGAAGGTATATATGAATTACAGGGCTTAAAGTTTCAGAATAAGCTCTTAAACAAATGTTACAAACTCTAAAGAGACTTTAGCATTTGAATATTTTAATGCACAATCATACTGAACTGCTTTTGCAAAATGAGGCCCATTATTATTGGGCCTAATCTTTTAACCAGGAGAGGCCTTAAGTAGAAAGCCTTGCTTGTACCCAGTTTCACAGATGAGCTGCTGGGATCACAGAGGTGAAGTGAATTGTTCAAGGTCAGAAAGCAGAAAGGCTGAGTTAGGAATTAAAAGCAGGGCCTCAAAGAGTTCATTGCTTGACTTTCGTTACTCTGCTCTTCTACCTCCATTACTTACTAAAGTCATTATGGGGAAAAAACCTTTTCCCTTTTGTTTACTTAACTGATGCTTTAATATTCATATGTTTCAGTGCTTCCCATTTTTCTATACAGTGTTAACTATAATTACCCCAGTGCTCTTTTTTCTTTTAAGGTGTTTATATTGACTTCCAGTATTCCAAGACAACCTAATCTCTGTATATAACAGTAACTATTCAGGCAATTTTTTTTTTAATCTTGTACTTTTAAGCAAATATTTGAACAAAATAGAAGAAAATGTCATTCAGGCACAAACAATCAAGCTCAAGGAAAAATTCAGGTGTGTATTTAGATAAACGTTATGATATTTAAAGTCTTATTGAGTTTCTTTAGAATCCCCCGTATATGTCTGCAATCTTGTTGCCTTCTACTGATACAAATTCCTGAACATGCCTGAAGTTGACAGAAAGCCCTGATCTGCACTGTTGCCTCCTCCATATGCCATGGTGGGCTACAGACCCCAGACACTCCTCTTAAAATTCTTCTCATGGCTTTCTCTGCACCGTTTCCCTCCTACCACTGCTAAACAACAGACGCACTCACACTCGCCTGATCAAACAACTGTGATCAAAGTACAACAATTAAAAAAGCCCTTGGATTTTGTTTCTGGTAAAAACCTTTTTTTTTTTTTATTTCTACCCTGTGGGAAAAAAGAATTATGTCTGCCCACTGCCGTAGAAATCCTTCTTTTTTTACGGTCATCTTTCCAGTCAAATGAAAACGTAATGATTCACACTGCTGCACCAGAAGAGCTGGGTTAACAGGTAACTTAAAGCTACTAAAAGGGTAAAGAGATTTGAGAATCATATACATTTAATTCATCACATTTCACACAGTGTTTTTATGAAAATTTTGATCCAAAGGAAAGAGCACCACCTACTGGTCCACAAATACCATTTACACCTTCTGATTACATTAAAAAGTGAGTTTACTAAGTCCTTAAGAGTTGGGATGGAAAGAAAGGTAGAACCAGTATACCCAGTGTCTTTTTAGTTCCAGGAGGATTGATAACATTTAACACCATATTCTTTGATTATAACAACGCCTGCATAACTCTTTCACATCCGGGTATAAAAATAATTTTGGATAAAAGAACTAATAGTATTGTGAACTTGCATCTTCATATAAACTCAAACACAAAAATCACATAATAAAACAAATGTGACCGTTTTAACAACGAAACAGTAACAAAACTCCCGGAAAAGTTAGTTGAAGAAACAATGAAAACAGGATTAGGTCAGAACATTTCAACAAAACATTCCCATTGTTTTCCTTTTTTCCTTCAGTGAAAACAAGGTTAAAACATTTGATCTTCGGTTTTTAAAAACACCACTATACAATGATTAGTTAAAAATCATTTCACCGAGACACCAAAATTACCATAAGGTTCAAACAGAACAGAGAAAGGATGCACAGAAAGTAATGGTTCAAAAGAGCTCACCTGAGAATCAGTGGGCCTGGTAGCTGCATTACATTCAGAGTCATCCATCACAGAACCATAAGAGCCAACCACGCATTTAACTGCCCTCATTTGATAACCTGGACCACATGTGGTGGTGCACTGCAATCAGGGAAAGTATTTTAAAATTGTATCAAAGCTGCCACAGGGACCATAAAGCTGATAATATCATTTCAAAACCCGCATTTCGACAGACCCATGCAAAGATTAAAAGATAGAAGTCAAAAATAGACTAGCTAAGAATTTCTAGTAATTTTTCTCCCTGCTAAGGAGTGAGTACACACTTCTTTTCTTCTGCTTCACTAGCTTGAGTGAAATGAGGTCAATCCTCTGTGGCAGTGGTTCAGCTGAAATTGCACATGGTTCATTTAATGCCTTCAAATATACATTTAACATGATTGCCTACTCCATGGTATGTGAATACATAATCTCTGTCACACTTTTGTACTTACTGGAAACTTGCACACACTCACTGCATTTAACACAGAAGGTTTACTTTAATTTGTAACCATAATTTTCCTTTTCAGCCCTTGAGCAATTTCTAAGGCACATGCATGGTTTAGAGATAAAAATACAAAGGCATGCGGAATCATAACTTAGAATATACACGCACATCAAGCTGACTTTCTCTTACATCATTCAACAAAAAAAATAGCCCTGGGCTTACAGATGTTCCTGAAAATGAAGTTCTCAGCTCACTCCCAAGAAGCCCACTGCTTTAGGAAAAAAGAAGGAACATTATTCAATTCTAACCTGTCCCCATGGTCCAACTTGCCATGAAGCACACTCCTGCTGTTGACATGCTTGTACTGACTCTGGCTTCGACGAATCACAAAATCTGTCATCTAGTCTGTCTTCTCCAAACTGACACCATGTCTGACGATGCTTGTATCCTTTACCACATGTCACTAGGCACTGGAAATGCAGGAAAAAAAATTGTATTATTTGGAAAGGGTAAAATTATGAAAAACAAACAAGAGATCTACAGAACTGAAAGCAGTACACACTGCAGATTTCAAAGTAGCCCCTGGCCCAGCGGCAGAACACCACACACAACGCACAGAATGCTTCTGGCTTCACTTACTTCTGACCACTCTCCAGTTTTCCACTGTGGGCACAGAAATTCATTGCAAGGCTGGACAGTGAGCTTCTCCCACTGACTGCACCTGCTCTCGTCGTGACCAGCCTCTGTAGATTTGCCGCACTTTGCTGCTCGGCGTCTCGTGCCACCTCCACAGCTTTTGGAGCACTTGACAAAAAATGGGAACAAAATGCTCTTTCAGTGCCTCATCATTATTTCAGATTAAAAAAATGTTAAAATCAAAAAAGTGATTGGAAACGTGGAGGAAAAAAGCCTTACTTCTGTCCAAGGGGAATATTCCCAGCCTCCAGGGTTACAGTCTCCGCGGCACTCCTCTTTGTTATTAGGCTTTTCTTGACTGTCACAGTATCGGTCATCCACTTTCTCCATTTTCACTGCTGTGCGGATGTGCTTTGCACAGTAAATTTCTAGTGTGCGATAGCCTATCCCACACTGAGCTGTGCATTCACTTTTCCTCGCAATGTGCCACCTATTTCAAGATGTAAATTGATGATTCTATTATGTACAGACAACGTGTACATCTATCCTATGCATGTTAACAATGCTTTTTTGGAAACCTTGACACGTGTCAAAGACTAGCTCCTAGCTTTTGAAAAACTATGGCTTTGATTCTTGTTTTTGTTTCCCAGGATCTGATCAGGCACACAGCAAATGTCTTCTAAACTAAAGTACCTTGCAACAAAAATTATAGTTTCTTTTTTCATTTAAACTCTCAATCCTTGTTTTTACAGTTTTCCTGAGCTCTATAGAACTGGAGGCCTAACTTTGCCATCTTCAAGAAATAATAAATATGTACAGCATATGCTTAATTTAAATATCATCAAAACTAAAAATCCAGTTTTTATATTTTTTAAATATAAAAAAAAGGAATTACTGCAGTTGCTCCGCATTTTGGAAATATGTCTATAAATTTCAATTCGACACCTTCTCTGTAAGTCACACTCTCTTTTGGGTACATTAAAAATGGATAGCAAGGTGTACAGTACACCCCTGATAGAGACTCACCTGAGGTCACATTCCATATTGCATGGCTCAGTTATCAGCGGGGGCAGTGGAGACCCGTGACATCTCTGATCAGAGACGACCACCCGGTCAGACTCTCTGCTGCAGAGAACCTTTCTCTTGCGTTCACCTGCTCAACAAAAACAATTCAGAGCATGAATTATTAGCATGAATTAAATTATTCTTTTAGATCACTTAACTATACAGAACTCATCTTTTTTATTTTTCCACTGCCTGGACTCTGGCCCAGAGATCTGACACTGAGCACACGTGTCCTGACGGCCTATGACATCAGAATCTGGAACATCAAACCCAAGATGACTGTGCCCACATGGTCAGCGGAGACTATATTCTGAGCAGTAACACTAACATGCAAAGCACTCTGTTGAAAAGCGTTGCAAAGGGCACAATAACAAACAAAAGATTGATTGATTGATATCTTTAGCATTATTTTAATTAAAATTTTTAACATATCAGTCTCAACAATAAGATACAAATTTAATGGATTTCAAGTTCCTCTCATTTTTCCTTCTCTCAGTATATTATCAGAAAAAGATAAGTACATCTGTATTTTTAGATAATACAATTCATAGTTTCAGCTATGAATTCAATAATATAGGTAATGTACTTTACAAGTCCTAGAAAAGGTCCAACACCCACTCCTAAACCGGCTGATTTTACAAACTTAAATTATTTTTTATCCTACGTAATTTTTTTTTCTATTGCAAATTGCAATTGCAAAACTACATGTAAAAGAAACAATTATTGACTAAAAGCCCCTTTTGGGTTCTAACTTTGAAGTAGACTTTTTTTCTGCTTTCAAAAAAAAGCAGAGATCTGCCTTCCACTCATAAACTGTCCACTAAGTTCTTTTTTCCATTTTGCTTGAAAAAACACAGCAACAGAAGTGCAAAAGAAAAACTTCAACTAAAATAACACTTTTGGAGCTATGAACACAAGCTTTGAAGTAGAGTTTTTTCTGCTTTTAAAATTGTTTCTTTTTCTTTCCTTTAGCACAGAGACAATCACAGCTTGGTGCAGAGATTGTGGAAGAAAATGGTCTCATGGAGAGTTTTTCTCCCTCATCTATCTGGCTTATCATTTTCATACATACCTTGGCAAAGCCTGGAACACTCCTGCCAGGGGCCGTAAGAATCCCAGAAAAACTGCTGTGGTTTGTCTTCAATTGGAATATTAAATGTGTACCTCACATCAGGGTTGTATAAATTACCCACAGATAAAACCTGTGTAAAGATAACAGTCAGATATTTAAGTTTGCAGAGGATTTTATTTCAAAGATTTAGATTCTGCTGAGTAACTGTAATGTCTTGGCAAGAAGGGAACTGCAGAAAGAAAACAAAGGAAAAGATGTTACTTAGTGAAGAAATAAATGTTAGGGCAATGACGAATGCTTTTTATGGAATCTTTCAGGAACAGCTTAGTAAATCCATCTGTCTACCCATCCATTATCTGAAAGTTGCTCATTGCTGGGGAGGGTTGTGGCAACCCAGAGCCTGTCTGGGAAGCAGGTGAAGAAATAACACCCCAACATGCAAACACCACACAGAGAGTACCCCTCTGGAATCAAAGTCAGGATCCAAGGGCTGTGAGGCATCGGCTGTGCTGATATTTTTGAGAAAAAAAATCTTTAATTTAGCCTTCAATCTCAGAATCCGAGATTAAAAAGTAACAGCATAGAATTTAGTTTTTATCCAGACATATGATGAAAAATTCATAGTAAAGTAAAAAGGGCGAGCAAAGAAACAGAGATGCCTTTACCTGAACAACAATCTCTTCCTCGATGCGGCCAGTGCAGTTAATTCTTTCTACAGCGTTATCAGAGCCAGTATATTCAATTACAGCATTTCCCACTTTAATTTCCCTTTTAAACATGCTTACAACAAACTCCCCATTAAGCAGGTATTCTTCACGACTGTTAGAAATGGCTGGATGAGAGAAACAGAAAAAAAAAAGTGTTACTGCAATTAACTGATTACTCTACTCAGTGCCTCACAAAAAAATAATACATTCAATCTCATCAGACCTAATGGAAAGCATATATATTTAAAAATGTTCATTTTTGCCATGAGAGCTTTATGTTTGATTGGTAAATTAAAAATGATTGTACAAAGTGGAATGTTTTTAAATCAATCTGCTGCAATAAGGTAAAAATTAGATACGACAAAGTTTGAGAATCTTTGTCAGCGACTGTAATACAAATAAAAACTATTATAAGTTTTGGGGCTAAGATGTTGTTCCACAATTTCCTAATGTACAAAGTCTTAGAAATTACTAATAATTAAAACTAAGAAACTAAGAGTATTTGTGTTTTAACAAAATTTCCAAAGTATGCAATAGAAAGAAGTACTTAATTGGGAAAAATAATCCAGCATTCCATGAAAACTCAGTGTTTCCTGTTAAACAGCAGTCTACTGCACAAATTCACACTAATGCGATTATGTAGCTAATTTCCTGAGTTACTTTCCCCACCATTTCACCCATCACAGTTATACTGCTACAAAGTCAAACTAGAGTTGAGATGTACCGCTAATGCTGTCTAGTAAAATAAGCATTCACAACGTCCCTGGTCAATAAAACAATTTAGACTGAAAATGCATACAGTAAAGAGAAGCATATGTTCAGCATGCTTTTATGGTTTTATAAGTCAAATCAATTTTCTAACTTTCTTTGAAACTATTTCAAAGAGGAGGTCATAGATCTTAAAAATGGCTGATGGCTTTTGCTTTCCCACAAAGCCCAGTTTAAATTGTCATGCTTGGTTTTGTGTCAACAACTTTAATACAACACCACTTAATGCTAGATGCTTATACTACATTTATGCTTCTAACTCATTTCGAGTTCTAATGAGTTTCCTATTTGGCATAAAACAAAAACCACACTAAAAGCACCATGAAAAACCACACTAAACTCATTTTTGGTTTTAACCAGAGGTAATTAGAAAGTAAAAATACACCAATAAATTACAGCCTTTATTTTCTCCTTTCAAGATTGACCAATCATGACACAATCACAACGCTTGACTATTTATTCATCCATGTTCTAACTGCTTTATCCAATACAGTGTCGCAGGGCACAAGGCAGGATACACAATGGCTGGGATGCCAGTCCATCATGTGGCACAATCGCACACAAAGATGCACACACCCACACCAGGACCAATTTATCCTACCAGGCCTGTGGGAAGAAACCGGAGGACCCAGAGGAAACGTTTGTGTGTTCTACATGCGAATACATGGAGAACACCCAAACTCCATGCAGACAACACCCCACCAACTGCACCCAGGGCACCAGCACTGTGAGGCAACAATGCTAACTATTGCATCCACTGCCCCGCCAATTTCTGTTTATAATTTCTTCAAATTAGACAAAAGGAATTATAATGTAGACTCATAAATAAAAGCATAGTAGGAAGTTGGTACATTATAATGCAAGAGAGTTCTTCTGTACCTAGAAAATCAATCCTGGTAGTAACATGATGCAACTGGATACTCTAAGAAACAACTTAAACCAGTCTCTGCTTGACTTTTGGCATTTTGAAGACACAGCTAGGCTTTTTCAGGATACTAAATTACTAGGTGATTTCACAAATATTCCTAAAGTTGTCAATATTCCTCCATGCTTTCTTCATTACCAAACCTTTCAGTTTTGCCTTATACATGTCCTGTTAGGCAGCAGTAAAAGCACAGACAACGAAATAATGAACTGCAAACTAAACAATCAGAATATAATTCTGTCTTGCGCTACAGACTAAATGCAAGGCTCATGTGCAATTTTAACTTCCAAATTATTTTTCATTCAGTATCATATGCATGAAAAAAGTGATGGTGTTGAAATTGGGTATTCATGGCCCATTCATACTATACTCAAGATCCTTACCAAGGTAGTTGTCATCTTCTGGTTTCCCTGAATAGCTGTGCTGTCGCACGTCTATGTTTGTAGCACCACTTGGGATTCGTACAACAACATTATATCCTGAAAACACAACAATGGAAGTTGTGAAAACAAAAATCATAAGTGAAAATTAAAATCTTTTAAAAAATAAGTTTGAAAAAAATAGATATCCCTTACCATAATGGACGGTATTGAATGTTCCTGCAACTGTTTTACATGAAGAATTATCACCACCGCAAACGCCACACTTATCTCTCCTTGCTTTTGAATTCAGAACGTGATCACAGCCAGCTTGCTGCACAAAAAGAATAAGTGCATGGTCACAGTGTGTAAGAAACATACACCTCTGTTTACAGTTTAAGATATATTACATTGTCCAACTCTTTTCACTCAATGTTTTTATTTTTAAATTCAGAATCACAATGTTATGGTAAACAACTGAAATTAAAAAAATTTCAAGCTAATAGTTCACCCCGATATACAAAGCCAAACAAAAATTTGCACCCCATTCCAATGATGGAATGATATATGTATAAATGATGTATACACCTTTCTAAGAGGATCAAAACTCAAATGCAAGAAAGAAGTTACAGAAAAGATACATTGAAAAGCCAAAAATTAAAAATAAGTTATGTGCTATGTTACTTGATATTTTTTATTTCATACAGTATGAGTACAATATATTTAGCAGTATAAATGGCACATTAATTACCTTTCTTGATTAACTGAATATTATCTTTGGGTTTATTTTTTATTTGGGAACCTTTCCAGTAATGAACATGAAGTATCTACTGTCAGAAAATGGTAACATTTTAGAAGTGCGCTATAACTGCATAATGAAAGTCTCGTCTAAGCTTTAGAACTGGAGAAACTGATAACTGGACAGCTTCTCCAGATGAAATATATCGATTATGAAAACCCCAATAACTTTGTTCACAACAGTGTCTGTTATTCAGGACCTAATCCCATCAACAAACGGCTAAGACAAAAATACAGTTTTTCTCATTTGTTGCAAAGTAAATTGTTTTTTGCTTTCTTACCCGACAAAGACCTTGGACGCAGATGTCATTAGTGTCTGGCCCACAAGGGGTGCCATCTATAACTCTGTCCCTGAGTTGATAATAGGCTGTACTTCCAGCAACTCTGCAAAACAGCTTGCAGCGGTCTTTCATCAAAACTGTTAAAGAAGAAAAACAAAACAAAAAAGTAATTAAACTGTAAAAGGAAATGGTATGATGGGTCTCCCAAATACAAGGAACCTCCAGTAAAGATGTAAAAAGGTGTTAAAGAAAAAGACTCCTGTTGACTTACTTCCACTGTACTTTGGAACCCAACGCACATTTGGAGGTAGACCGTTAATGTTGAAATGCCTCCTGTCAAAGGCACCACACTGCTCTTCCCTGAAGTCTTTCTTTTGCTTGGAACAAGGCTCAGAGCTGCAGGAGCGGAACTTCATTCTGCGCCCCACACAGTATTTGCCACCATTTCTCGGCCTATAAAATCATGGGATTAAATAAGGGATCATGGGATTGGTCTCTGTTACAACTGTGGCGGTAACTACAGAATTACAGCTTCACCTGCACACAAGGGATGATTCTCTGCACTACCTCTGTTATAACTGTGCATATAGGCCTATTCTGCAATATCTCTGAGTACATCCATCTGCTTTCTGTTATAATTCTTATAACCTTGCGCAAATGTGAAATTCTCAGTGATAAAACTGTGCTTTTTATTTAGCAAGTCTGACTTGAACTTGGCTAAAGCACAGAAAGCCGTACTGGGGATAAGTGTGTAACACTTTCACTGCTCAGAGTCTTCACGAGGAAGTGACAAGGACAAAACAAACTTCTGTAATGTGAAGGAGTGCTTACACTGGTCGGTTGCATTCTCTGACTGCAATCTTTATGCCACCCCCACAGGTTCGGGAACAGGTTCCAAAAGGACTCCACGCTCCCCAGGCTCCTTCAACTGGTGGGGCATCATGCTCCTTTGCAATACACAGCCCATGTCTGCAATGCTGTGCAGAAAAAAATTAGAAAGAATGCGATGCCTTACAGAAGAAAAAACAACTACAAAGAAGCTCAGTTAAATTTAATGGTAATATAAACATCTCTTAAACATGCTTCCAAGAGAAGGGGCTTAATGTTTTTTAAAGAATGTTGATCAAGTAACTACAATCATATACGGGAACTGTATTGTTGAGATTATTTGCTTCAATTTAAGCCCTGAACAGGGCATCCACTGTCTACTGTATACTGCCCAAGAACCTGCAATATGTTTTAGGGCACATCCAGTCCAGGTGGAAAAGACCTTATTATTAAAGGCGTTAAGCAGGAAGGGACTGCCATGCTTTGCTTCTGTGAAAAATATTGGGGAAAAATGTTGGGCACTATTTTGAATTGTCAAATGTAATTTTTTCAGAAGCTTTCTGGGACACAACCTGCAATGGGTTAATAAAATAAGCTCTTGCCATCTGTGTGGCTCAGTTGTAGTGCTGAAGTTTGACTGCCCTATAAGTTTTCAAGCAGGAAGCTAAGCAGGATGCATAAATCTGAAAAGTGCTAATTAAAGAGGAATATTTACTACACAAGTAACAAACAGGGCGATCTTAATTTGCGTGTAATGAATTCACAAAAATACTTCATTTTAAAGACTAGAACAGTGGAAACAAATGTCAGGCTTTATGCCACAACACAACATATTTTTTTTAAAGAACATGGAACTTTGGTTAAACCTTCAACTCCAAGGTAATAATCAAAGTGGGAAGTATTAGTCATACTATTCGAACACATCTCGGAACGTTAAGAGGCGCTCAAGAAAGTGAGTGATGTTGTTAGTCACATACCTTTCCTGGGGAACACTCTGTGCCGTCCGCCCAGGGCATGTGGTGAGTGCGACATCCTCTCTGCACCCCGTCAGGACTCGTGCACCACAGCCTCCGGCACTGCGTCTGTCACACACCAACAAGACACTTGCCAATCAAACAAACACAGTTGCAGTATACTGGCATGGTACAGGGAATACATATCAAAGTATTTCAGCATTAGAGACCTTGAAGTTCAATGTGAAGGCCTTTTCTTTCATTAGTCACTTTTACAGAACGAAAAACACTACAACTAAAATATTTAAACTAAAAATGAGCATGAATTGCAATATTAGGAAAAATAATTCACATGAATTATAGCAAAGCCCCTGTCTTATATTATTCCTGTCTAATGCCCCTTATTAATATGTGTTTTGGGATACTGGATAACCCTTTGATGACCTGTAACATGAACAGATGTTTCACATCTACCAGAAAGGCATTATATAACATATTACACAACATATATCACAGGCATTATGTTGGTCATGCCTGGTTACAGATTTTGGCTGAACTGCTGAACCTACCTTTACATGCATTACCAAAGAGTTGTATAAAGGCCAAAAATAATAAATACAGGAGTAGCCTAAACAGGCACCCCAGCTTTGTTTGTGCTGACAGCAGTGAAAATTTGCCATTTTTGATACAAATAATGCCATCATCATGGGTAATACATCATGGGTAATACAATCATTTCCATCCTGTCACTTACCATGTACGGGCACACCTGTGTTCCAGGTCCAAAAATTAATTCACATTGTCTATTAACACTGTATAAGCGTCCAGGAAGTTGCTGAGGCAGATAATATGGTCTAGATACTGGCTCATCAAGCAGGCATTCACCATACCCTGTACTAATAGAAATAAAAAATGACTAAACTGCAATGGCACAAACCCTCAAAACTAAGACACAGTGGTAAAGAAACTGTATAATTACAAAACAAAAGAAAGAATATTTAATTTTAGCAATTACCAAAACATCTGCAAATCACTGGATTTGGCACTACTTCTGATGTAATATTTTCTCTACATATAAAGGAGAAGATCTTGCATAAAAAGGCTAATTATATAGTACATGCGCTTTGAAATGTATGAATCTGTTGTTTGCATACTCAAGAAATTCTGTTATGTATTTTCTGCTGCATTTCGACCACATCCACGGGTTCGTATAGTAGGTAAGTGTCGGTGCCATTACATGCTGTTGGTTTTTCACACCATCTTCTTTACATTTGTTACTGTCATCATGAGGCATGTTAAACCTAAAAATATCAAAGAAAAAAATACATATCTTTTGAATCCCTCGTTAGATTACTGTTTGGTGTTTTCTTACAGAATCATATCAGTTGGAGATTTTATATAAGCTTTCAAAAGGAAGAAATCTGAATTGTAGCTTGTGACTTAGTGAGTGTAAGGCAATGGCCAGCAATACAAATTATTAATAAAATTTGCAGCCTTGAGAAACACATTATAAAGCATTACACTGGGACACATACACTGCTTAAAATGTCAAGAGCAAGTCACTAGCAGCTGCCATTAAGACCACATCAGTGATTTGATCCACCATTTTCACATTTTTACTGTTTTAGGTTTCTGTGCCAAGAAAGGCAGTAACATAATATCTTAACTCGGTAATCTCAAGGGAGTTTTTTACATTCAAGTCCACTCAGCCAGGAATAAATGAGGAGTAATTTCCAATCCCGGGCAACAGTACTTAAATCTAACTAAAACAGAACTTTAGGTTAAAGTAAAGCACATATTATAAGAACACTGGCACCATACTTACACATGACCGAGTTCATGTGCTATTGTAAACGCTGTGCTTAATCCATTATCTTCGCTGATGGAACAACTCCTGTAAGGGTCACACACAGTGCCTAATTCTGCTAACCCTAAAAGAAAGAATCATGAAATTTAAATTTGTCTTTACCCTTGCCAGAACAAAAACTGAAGAGGACCAACAATACAAGTACTTTAGATAAAGGATAGACATTATCTTTACTAACCAAAAAGGGATACTCTGTTCAAATAACAAAAAATATCCATCCACATAAGATGACGTCTTTTTAATCCATCTGTTCACATATTTCAGGAAGAAAAATAAAATCTTACCCAATGTATCACATTTATCACGTGCCCTGCAAATGTCCTGTCTGAAAAAGAAAAATAGTTAAAAGTTACTCAAAAAGACTTTAAGATCACAGCTCGTACCAGTGGTTATTTTTCCCCACATGTCCAAAAATATGGTTAATGACCATGTTTTCTCAGCAATTGGCAAATGAGAATACAAACAGGAACCCATGCTACTGTATAACTAGAGGATAGTATTTTGAAAAACAGAAGAAATCCACTGAAAACGAGCCATCCCAGTCCATTTTAATCAGTAAGTCAATATGTCAGCCCTAATTAAAGTAACTTGCTTGCATGGCCTGCATTCTAACTGTTTATTTGTGACCTTTCTAACAGTTTCTTCTGGAGGTCAGTGACCTTGGCTGTGTTTGAGATTTCCCTCTCTTGGGCCTTTCTGGAGAAAGATCTGGGACTAGGGCCAAACTGTATCTTCTAAGTACACCCCTAACATTATTTGTAGTATTCTCTTTTAGTTACACTGTCTCTTTACCTTGTTATGAGGATAGCAGTGTCATGATGAGAAAGGTGGTTTTCGTCAGGCTGATTCTGAGTTTGCTGCCAGATGCAGAAGTTCTTTAAAGTGGTCTGTGCATTAAATGAGATTATAGGACCATCCTAATGAATGAAACATATTTAGAATGAGCATTTTCTAGAAGAATCAGCATTTTTTCTTAATGTTGAATGTTTTTATTTTTTCAAATAAAGTATTGAACTTACCAGTTCATTTGTTATAATAACTAACTTCACAACGACAACATTAATAAGATTTCCAATGCTCGGATCTTTATAAATAGAAGATACCTGCAAAATAAGTATGCAATATATTTAGAAGCTCAAAAGGTGATTAAAATATATTGATACCTATATATGAATGTACTGAATACAGGCAGCTTTATTTTAGCAGGGATAGCAGGCTAAAACCTTGTACACTTTAACTCTGCAACTGCAGCAAGTGCATGAATTAAGTCTGATGTTCCTGGGAAAAACATGGTTCACTTCACCGCTGGAGAAACTGCCTGTTACCTCCTTTCCAGCAGTGCAAGCTGATGCCTTTGCCAGAATTAAAATTTAGGTCAGCTGGCCTCCTGCATGACGACCTACAATCGTGTGCACAGTTTTTAGAATTCAGTCCGGCAATCCACACATGCAAGACTTCTCTCTTCGATTTACAGGTTACACATTATTTAAAAATGTGCTTTGTGCAAATGCGCATCACCTATTAAATTGCCAAAAATTAAAAAAAGGCAACAAAAAAACGTGAAGACTTACAATAGACATTAATGTCAGAATGTAGTGCTGAAGGTTATTCCCGTGATGGTCAACCATCTTGTTGTCTGCCACCACCATGACTTCAACAAATCGAGGGTATGAGAGAAAACGTTTTGATCTCCTGTGGGCTCCTGAGTCAGAGGTATGGTTGCCTTTCCATTTCTTCTCGCCTGTGACCAGGTCACCTGTAGGTATCCTTCCTCGTAAAGTTTCCAAATCTTCAAACATACTGCCTGGATGTCCTTTCTTCAGTTTTCCTTTAAATCTTCTATGTCTATGTTTGTGTCCTTAAAAAATATTTAAATGAATCTGAGTACTGATCGAAGAGATTCATATTTAAAAGCGCATGAAAGCAGAGTCAAAATTGTCTTTAGCTATTTACTCTTTTTGGACATTTCAAAACATGATTTAAATTTCTAACAAAAGACAATTTAAGGTTATATACTGTATTCCAGATTATTAATGGCAATTTTTGCGGGTTTTGAAAACAAAACAAACCAACTTTAGAAACAAGAAAAATGTGCCGTTGTTTTCTTTGTATTTTCAGCCCAACTAAGCTTAACAAAACTGATCTCCCTGCCAATGCGAAAATTACATTTCAGAAATTACAGTCATTATGTGCTCTTAAAGAAAAAAAACATCCTGAACAGGCTAGGCCCCCTGACATAATATCTCAGTCTTACCTGTTTTCTTCCCAGTGTTCAAGGACTAGTTTAAATAATTAATTTGATTTGTGTTATAATGATTCAGCAAAATTTACAGAATACATAGACAAGAAAATGGAGCTAAAAAAAAGCTCTCATTGGGAACTTCATTGCTACAGAGGCCTTGGAAAAGCAGGAGAGGGAGGTTCATGTTAGGTGAGTCTGGCAAACAGCCATGGTACTAACATGGAGCCAAGCATGTCTCCTCAAGAAAAGAAAATGACATCAAATTTCTAGTATTTGTAGGAATTTAGGTTTTAGTTAATACTAGGCAACTCTTAAGTACTAAACACTTAAGACCAAGAGCAAGCAGTAGTCCATTTTAATTCCTGAGGTACTTGTCATTACAAGATTATTACCCAAATTCTTAATCAGAACTACGTCGTTGCTGCTTTCCTGTTCATATCAGCCAACAATATTGTAACATCGGCCCAAGCAAAGTGTAGATGGAAGTAGCACTCCATCTTTTCACTATTTTGTCAATGAACCCCCATCTTTTCCATGTGGTTAATATTGTTGCAATAAAAGCACCGACTGACATATTATAGCATCGATAAATAAAACCCAAGCCTTGGAATGTAAGGAAATGGAAAGCTTTGATTCTGTAGTGGATGGAAGGCAACAAAATAAAGTTGGTTGTGATTAAAGTACTACCAAATCTCACTCAGCACTGCAGATGGAGAACAACAAACTGATCTTTCCTTCTACATATCCCTTGAACCACTATTCATAACACATTTGCTTGTTTAAGACATCTACAGCAAGACTCAATATTTTTTACTGACCATTATATAAAGAGAGAAATGTCACAGGATAACATAAAGCAGCTGTTAATGGATGGATTAACACCATCCAGAATTTATCTCACAAAAATTCACATTTAAATTACTGTATAATGACTGTATTACTTTTCTACAATACCTTAATGGAACTGGACGGATTTTCTGATCTTTGTACTGTAAAGGTTAAAGGAAGTTTAAGTGGCAACAGGCAAGAGGCAACGGGAATTTGAACCAATAAACAGAGATTGTTTGATACCATACTTTATCTTCTGCATAAAATCTGCTTTCCTGTTTGAGATCTGCAAATGCATACTATAGAAAATTATTCTTAGAAAATAAAAGTCATTACGTCACATTTTTCAAATACATTAGTAGGTTCTGACAGCTGCATTTTATTCTCATTCAGAATTTTTTTAATGCATTCTTTAACAAATAATATCATCATAGCCCAAATATCTACTGTAAAGATCAAAAACAGTTTTAACAAGTTTCAATGAATACAAATCCTACTAACATTGAAGAGTTTTAGACACAATATTATCTAAAAATAAAATCAATTTGCTCCTGTTTATTTACTGCACTGAGTGCAGCTTCTACAATATGTTCTTGCATAACATTATGTGAAGAAAGGGATGGAGGGCAGATTTTTAGTTCTCATAATGTAACTTTGTGTTCTGTTAGTAACAGATCTTTTTAAACACAGTTTGTTATCAGAGCCAAGTCAATAATCATCATTCACTACCAAAGTGGAGAGATGACGACCAACTTAAAGCAGTTACGAACCAAATACATACAAAACTTAGCAGGACTGAAACTTGTTTGGCTTTAGCCTAAGGTGACAATTTATCAACAACTTCAAGGCAAATTCCAACATGCATATCACATATCTCTTTAAACCTGAAATAAGACAGTGGGAGCTCAGGCAAGTATCTGAGAAATACAACTCTGTAGTGACATTTGCTATATTATTAACTTTCATAAAATAAAGCAGCTTCTACTCCTCCAATGTTTCTTCAGGAGTTTCATTCTGGAGCAAAAACCTACTGTATCTAAAACAAAACAGCATTCTAGCCAGTGACAGACCTGTAGCTGCAAAACAAACACTACATTGTTCTGAGCAGACAGGACAAAAAAGAGAAATGTTTTCACTTCGATTTTTTTAAAGAGCAAACACATTTTGCCAGCACAATATATTACATGTTCCACTTATCTTGAAACTTTTAATTTCATCAGTTCAAAATGGACTGAATGACCCCATCCAGCTTGCAGACCTTTCTCATGATCTAAAATGTTTGAAATTCCTACAGTAGGCTCTTCTTTCATCTCACTGAAACTTTCACACTGTCCACAAAGCACCTGACTCTTGATAAGTGACTGTTTTGCTTTAACATTATGGATTTAGCTTGGTTACTGAATTGTGAAGGGAAGTTTTAGTCTAATTTTATCCTCCTGTTCAGGTAAGAGGGACATGTGATATACTTAACCAAAGTCGTTATTTTTGGTGAGGCACAAATGAGTATTGAAGTGAGAGGAACATTCTCTGTGCGTGTTCAATCCATTGAAGACAGTGAAAATGGTCATGATTGCGTGTCATTGCTTATGTTTCGTATCACAAAAAATACATCAGTTCAGATCATCAACATGCATTTACCTGAAACATCACACGTATTTATGTCTCCTGCTGTTTTTTTCACAGGAGCATCCTTTCTGTAGACAAGATGAGGTTTGTTGTGTTCTTCTTCATAGTATTTCCCATTGTAGCTGTGGAGAGGTTCTACAAAATATTCCCCTTCAGGAGACCTAAAAGTGCCAAGCTTTAGAAACAAAAATGGGTAGTTTTGCTTAAGTGATCAACATACGTGATAAACACTTGAAATTTTATCTTACATACCCTGCACTATCAGCTCTAAATACAGCTGTAGTTAGAAATAGTTCAGAAATAAAAAAAACATATCACAACAAAATAACTTTTGAAGCCCACTCCTGATTCTTACACATCGAAAGGGACAAGTGCTATTTGTATTTTGTGAAGGCTGTACTTTTAAACTTCTGTTTAGTAAACAAGCATGCTTGAACATCAAAGTAATTTGTACACCTTTCAACTTAGATCAGCACTGCCTGAATGCTAAAACTGAGTCTCCACATTCGCTAATTCAGGAAAAGAAAACTTGTTCTCTGCTGGGCTTTTATCACTACTGACCAAGTAAACAGAAAAAAGTAGAACGTAAACAATACAGATCAAGACACTGACTTGCACACAACTTAACCGATAAACTGCGTCACAGTAATAAAGGTAATCAGTTGTGGCTTTTTCACACTCACATTACAAGTAGTAAAGTTCCGACTTGCAGTTAGAATTGTTCTGGTAAACAATCACTTATTTTAGGAAACTGTTTTGTTTGTTTTTATTTTCTAAACAAAATAAAAGTATCGTGTTGGACTGCCATATTAATGTCCATCATGTTCAAAAATTCTTTTAAGGTGGTTTTATGGATGATAACATTATGCCTTGCCCTATTCAAGATATTCACTAGTGCAATTCAATCAGAATATCTGTACACCCTAAAACCTAATTGATTTACATCGGCCATAGTGCACGACTCATACTCGCTCAAAAAAGGGATACCCTGAATTTATCGTTTAAAAAAGACTGTTGTGTCCGTGCAACCGGTTCCTTAAAAGAGTCATTGCTGGGGTAGTTAAGTCGGAACCGCCCACGCAAAGACATCCCAAACAATTCTTACCAGGTAAACAAACTAATACTACGCAGGCATCTTCAACGCAACGCATTTGGTGAGTCGTGAGTTGACCTACTTGTAATTTTTGAGAGAGGCTTTTTTTAAAATAAGTGCATTCCTTGTCTGTTCTATTTCTTGAGCACGTGGGAAACTCGATAAAATGGAAATCGTTACTGTTTATAAATCAGCGCAGTTACAGGGTCTGTCTCGGGGCTATCCCTCTTTGGAAGGATGGAGGAAAACAACTTTTTTTGCAATTACTTGGGTAAGTACATAATCTCTCAAACATGAACGTTAAAATGTCTTCTAAAACTGCACTAAAGCTAAACACAACTAAATTTCTGAGTTCAAAGGCAACGGTAGCTCTGTAAGTGTCCGTTAACGTTTGTTAATGTGTGCGCATCAATCAACCTAAGTTCTACTTCTTACACTAGTGAGGATTTTTCAACAAATTGTTTAAACCTTGAGAAATTCTATAGATATCACTTAAGATAATACAATCCAGTAGTGCGCAGAATTTGCCAACAGCTTTTCAAGATTCTCCCTTCCCACAAAAACCCACTCAGGTCAAATTGACGTCATATTGACAGTGGTGCTTTCTCTTGGTGTACATGTAACGTCATCAGCTGCAGTTTTTTTTAAAGAAATACGACTTATTGGCCAGTACATGCTTGCACATCTGTATGTGGTGAGCATAAGTGCAGTGCAGTTTTCAATTTACAACAGATTTCCATGTAAGTGTATGCTTCTTATCATAAAGGCGCAGTTACGCGCTACAGAAAGTAATATTTTCTAATTTATACTTTTAAGATCGTAAGACTGTGAAGCAACAAAGAAAAAAGGCATTAAGCATATTAAAAGGGGGTCTTTTTACACTTTGGAAATAATGTGGTGGGGAAAAAATATTGAAATGAGCCCCTACTCACCAATCCTGAACAGAGGCTAATGATTGCAGCGTGTTCTAGTTTTGCGTTTACGTGCCCTTTATAGAAACAGTGCTTGTAATCGGTATCTTCTTCTTCTTCCCCATCTGATGAAAAATCCGTACGGTTATTTCTGAGTACTCCCAGTAACGTGACCGTGTAGGAGGGTGCAACAAATCCAGAGTCGGGTGTGAGGTTAAGGTGAAAATGCTGTCCAAAAGCCGATATTCTGTAATGAATTTGCGATTCAGACGTGGCCCAGGGATCAATGAGGTTGCCTGAGCTATCAATGCTCCGTTTTCTCCTTTTGAAGTGCATGCTTGTGGGCACTGCCTCGCCAGATTCATTCACCCTTTCAGGAGTCACTATCTCAAACACACTCAGCTGCTCCAGCAGTTTTGCTGAAAACGGGAGAAAAAAGATTAAGAGGACACGAAGTGGTCACACATAAGACATATTTTCAATTTGCAAGGATTATATTACTTTGAGTTTTTCAACTAAACCTATAAAACAATGTTTTTGTAGCCTGAATATCCTAGAAGTTAGCAAACAATGTATGCTACATACTTGATCATTTAAGTCCAGAAGAAAATCAGAAATTCATCCGTTTTTCCCTGTAAGCATGCGTAAAAATGTATTTGGATAACTTTACCTTGTCTTGCATTTAAGATGGGTTTCCCTGTAGTTGTTGCTGCTACATTCAAGAAGTTTGGGAGTAGTGTTAAAAATCCCAGTGCCCAAAACACAAGATGCATGATTATCCGCCTTATTTAGAAAGCAACCCTTATATTACAGTATTCCTTCTACCCCTCTGTCAGATGGGCTTCGGTTAGAGCTCTTGTCCCAACCTTCACAGTGTAAGAGAGTGCTTCATCCAGCTTGTTTTATCTCCGACTCGTAAGTGATAGCTTTTGTATCGGTGATTTGCGTTTTATCGAAAAGCTCTCACGTAATCTCTGGTGAACATGCATAATGTAAAGAGGGGTTCAGGCACAGACAGTTCTGGTGGGATACTTTCCCCCCAGCACAGCTTGACTCAGAAAAAAATCAAAATGGGCGGGATTAAAATCTTCTTGTGTCATACAGCCAATCCCGGGGCTCAACCATAGTAGGATACTGGAGTTATTCTTTACCCAAGTCTGTAGAAAATTATATCAGTAAATAACAGGTTGCATTAATCTACACATTGGAAGGTGCAATGAAATATCACGAAAAGATGCAGTCTAATAGGTCTAAGAAAGTCTTAGCTCTTTAGATGTTTTAATTAGGGGAGTTAATGGAAGAAAAACGAAGCCGTTTCTTTCACCTGTTAACACATTTTTAGCAGTTCAAAGACGCATGATTTGAAAATACATCACAACAAAAGGAATCGTTGTGGAATTCCTGAAAACATGAAAAGTGTGAGCTTTTATACCATCGTAAAAATGATATAAACTTATTAAAAGAGGGATACGACGGACTCCCAAGATTAACTAGTGAATACACATCAGGTGAATGAGAAGTAGTAACTACAAAATTGTGTATTGGATCAAGAGTGTGTGTCCCCGGTGTTAATTTGGAATGACGCCGGTATTTAGGCACCGTCTTTTGTAATTGTAATGACAACAAGGTGTCAAGTCTTCTCTGGAAAGCGTAATATAATTTTAAAAACCGTCAGATGTTACATGTTTATTAAATTGTTTAAATTTGTTTAGGAAACGCCCATATCTAGGGCGACGTCCAAAACACTTTTAATTTGTCTTGAAATACGAAAGAAATCGTACGTGTGGAGGAATTTTTAAAGTTATCTGAAGAGAATTACATAATTGATCATTTCCCCACAGATAACTTCCCCTTTCCTCACCCAGGGGCTCGGATAAATTCTTACAGTGCGCTATCAGAGAACTCAAGGATCTCTGGTTTGTTTCCAACAGATGGCCACACAGAAGTAATAGTTAAGGTCCAAACATTTTGATAGGAAGGATTGTAGGCAGTGTTTGCTAAAAATCAATTGTTCTGATCATTGTGAAAAGCTCGTCATTGTGATAAATTGTCCTAGACAGAAATGAATGGACTAATATTCCTGCGAGCCCTTTTATTTTCACGTGATTTGGGGAATACTTTGTGCAGTGAATTTAGATTTGCTTTTTAAAATAATTATTTAGTTAAGCCCAAAACCCTTTAAAAACTTTATTGAGGAAGGTCATTTGTCAAGATTGTAAGATGGTTGCTCACTTATGGGCAGCAAGTTTATTTGTTATATTAGTGACCTTTTCAAATGTATTTTCTTGAAGTAGTCTCTAGCTTACAATGATACCTTTGCTGATTATTATTAAGATTAAACTCAATCTTTTTACCAAATATAACACGTTTATTTAAATTTCTACTATTGGCGTGTTCCCCCAACAAGTCTGTGGAAGATACTGCATTCGCAAAAGTAAATTAAATTATTTTTTTTTAAATTCTGATTGCTTTTTATTACAACAGCTTAATGTGTAAGAAACAAAAATATTGTATCTTAAAATAATTTGAAGGCAAAGTGTTTACTACTTCTGTCAGCACTGCTTCAATTCCAGACCTGGGCTGCTATCTACAGTACATGGAGGAACAAGTCATAGGTTTATTCCATGCTGAAAAGAGAGAAAGAAAACACAACGTTTCGGCGGCCGTGGTGGTGACACACCTGAAGAAGGCTCCACGGCTGAAAGGTCTTTCACCTCTTTTCAGCATGGAATAAACCTATTACTTGTTCCTTTGCAGCCTACGCATGCTGATGCAGCGACCCACCTGAACATCTACATGGAGTTTGTATGTTCTCCCCATTTTTGCATAGGTTTTCTCCAGGTGCTCTAGTTTCCTTCCACAGTCTGAAAAAACAACAACAACTTGCCAGTGGTAGGTTAATTGGTGTCTGGGAAAAATGGCCCTAGGTGTGCATGTCTATGTGTCTGCCTTGCAATCCAAGGTGTACCCTGCCTTGCGCCTGTTGCTTATGTAACGGTTCTTGGGGTTTCCGCCCTTGCCACTCCTATCCTGCCAGTTTGTCCCTCACTGCCTGGGCGTGAACACGGGTCTCTGGCTTCACGCAACGGGGGACTTGCCAGCTGAGCTAAAGGAGACCTCCCTCAGCCCAGGCGGCTGAGATCCCTGTTATATGCAGAGGCATATTTGTTACACTTACCAGGATAGACAATTAGAAAATGGTGGATGAAAAATTATTCAACAAATTTAGTAAAATATCATGACACACATTATGGGTAGGTGGGTGTGATATTTCATAATTTCTCGAAAAAATACTGTTTACCTGATTTGTGTGGAACTTTATTTGCCATTTGTATAATTTTGACTATTAGCATGGTTGGATTTAATATTCATAGAGTTATTTTGTGGAATTTTGCATACGGTATTGTTAATGATTTTGATACATATCAGTGCATCTTGACATTGATGAATGGGGATACAATACTAAGTAGAGTCGTATTCAATCTACAGCTGTTTGTAAGTATATTTCTTGCTAAAATAAGCATCACACTTGGTTTATCTTAAGACCTTCTGTCAATATTCCCTTTTCATTGTATATTACACCACCGTTTAAAAGGTTTAACCATTTTAGACAGAATCAAGGGTGTATTGCAATCAAGGGTTACAATATCTTTATGTTATTAGCATCAATAACTTTCTCAAACACTCCACTAGTGTTTCTTACTGCTGTAACAACTTTGACTGTTCTGAATACACCTGTATTAATACACTGTTATTGACACCTGAAGAAGGCTCCATGGCTGAAATGTTGTGTTTTCCTTCTTCTCTTTTCAGCATGGAATAAACCTATTACTTGCTATTAATACAGCTTAGTTTGGGTGAGAAGAAACAATCCTTGTCATTTAGTAATCTTTACATTGCTCAGAATCTTTTAAAATGTGATTACAACATCTCAGTGTAAACTGTAGTGCAGTCAGTTTGAAGTGTTATAGTAGCTAATCACATAACTAAATTTGATTCCAAATGATGACCATCAGATTCCCCTTGTCAATAACACCATTTGTTCCTCTCTAACTATCTATAAAGCTAAAAGGGTTATTTTTTGGGGACTAAAAGGGCCAAATTCAGATCCATCGGGATTAAAGTTGGTTTAAAATAACATGGCTACAGTTTCAGTAGAAGAAGGTCTTAGAATTAGTTTACTGCATGAAAAGAAAGACAATGAGTGAAAAGAGCAGAACAGTGCAAAATTCCTGAGACTTTTACATAGTAGTGTGTGTTTCATCCTCCAGGTTTTGCAAGTAAGTGGCTTATTGTAGAAGTATCTTATTTACATGCTTATTATAGCAACACTGATACTATTGTATAATTTACTATTGTTTGTGAGCCTCCATTTGAAGAAATATCCATTCTCCAGGTTTAGATGGTTGCAGGCACAAAGCTTTAAAAGTATTATAAAACCAAGGCTTGATGTGATTTTTCTATTTTCTTGGAAAAAAAACACTGTGATGAGTAAGCCGTAGGTGGGAAATAATTATTGCGCTCAGTCGCTTAGGAGTATGTTCCACACAGCCACATTATCACACATGCATGTACCAACAGCTCTTAACAATTCCTAATCACAAACTGCAAGCAGTGCTCTTGTCTCCTGATAAAGTGAACTGTTCATGATGCAGGAACAAGTAAACAAAATATTTATACATTCATGTTTCTCAGTGATGTTTGTTTGCACTGACATCAGTTCATACCTAAGTCTTTCAGTTGAGTCATATGTGTCACTCCTCAGTGTTCAGTTGTTTTTCTTGAGAATCTATGGGGAAAAAAACTATGTTCATTCTGTTGCCAAATGATAAATTCAACTTTAAAAAATGTCAATGTATTTTTGACTGGTAGGATGTGCTGGAGATTCCATCTGCTATAAACACCATTTTATAAATCCACATTGTATTGTTTTAAAACAAGCTTTAGCAATATGGCCCAATTATTATCTGTTTTAGTTCATTTGTATCTCTAATTTGCTAATTTGTCCCATGTTGTATGTGTGTGCATGTGTTCCTTGCTGGTCTGGCAGCCCCTCCAGGATATGTTCCAGCCTTGCACCCTTTATTTGCAGGGCAGGTGCCAGTTTCCCACATTTCTCTGACCAGGAATAACCAGCATTCTGATAATAGATGGTTGGATCATGATGTCGTCATCCAAACAACCTCACTCACAGGTTCCTTGTCAGTGGAGAAATGATAAGGTGTGGTGACTGGTCTTGCCCCCTGGTGACAGACTCCTTTCATGTGTCTGGGATGCTCTTAGAAGATGTCATGCACCCCAGCCATGGTTTCCTGAAACTAGTCCACACTGCCTTAAGAAAGGAGTGGAAGAGAATCCCATTAGAGTTTACCAGGTTCTTGTTTTAGGCACACAGCTCTGTTCAAAGGATAGATTTCCCTTTTTGGAAATACTGAGCACAATTTGTTTCCTTGAAAATATTATAAAGGAATCTTTACTGAATATAAACCAAAGCACTCGGTGTTCTTAAATGGCAAATGGGATTTTAAGATCATTTTGCCATCAACATCTAAACTGACAGTCGGTCTTATGTATGTGCGTGTTACTTTTAATGTAACTATACCCTGTTGTGAGGAAATTGGCTATTTTAAATAATTACTGAAGGCACTGGTGATTACTGTTGTGTAGATGGTGTAGAATTATCTTATGTGGTTTCAGAAACCTCAGGAAAGTTGACTTTTCAGACGAAACTGTTAAAAGGGTACAAAAGCTTGCAATTCTGTGTGTAAAGTGTTTACTCAGGCTGTATAGAATATAAATGTAATGTACATGCAGTGTTTTGAGCAAGTAATATTTCTGTAAAAAGCTTTTTAGAGGGTAAAGTAAGTACTTTAGAAACTGCAGTAACACAAATGGCAAATGTGAAATTGTTAATATTTTATTTTATTTTATTAGATTTTCTTCGGAAATGAGACACCTTGACAGATTATGCTTGCCTAATCTGCAAGGCACTAAACTTTAGGCAAATGTCTGAGTGCTTGACTATGAGCACAGTGTTAGGATATTTTTTTATATGTGTTGCAAAATGTGATTTTGAAGCTGTGCTTTGAGCAGTGTTTAATAATTAGCTCTAGGGACACTGATCAGCATAACATTTCGTGGTGAGGTGATTTTGATGATGGCACAAACTATATTTCATTTGCATTTTTAAAAGAACCATCTTGGGTGTTTTTTAACCCAATCCTCAGAGCACACAGTTCTGTAGACCAATGCTTCCTAACCCTGGTCCAAAATTACTGGTAAATTGATTTCAGTTTTTCTGTTTGGGACATATTTTAAAATTAATTTAATACATTTAAAATTTGCATTCTTTTGTAGCTTGGACATTCTCCTGAGTAGTATGGGAATTAATGGACTTCTGACCTGGTTGTCATTGTATGGTTTTGAAGAGATAAGACCCTTGCAGCCGATGCTTTCTCTAGCCAAGGTAGTCCTGGTAAAAGTTGATCTTGTTGCACATCTTCATGCTGGCCTTGAGGACATCTGTTAAGTGTTTCCTGTGCCCTTCTTACATCTGGACAAAATAATAAACTTGCTTTGGGAATTGGAAATTTGGACAATGTGGTTAGTCCAGCAAAATTAATATCAGATGATAATCACCTTGATTACAAACAATGATGCTAATAATCAAGGGACAGGCCATTAACTTCAGTGCTAAGGCAGTAACTACATCTTGAATTTGCCCTTGCACCAAGGTGATCAAAATCAGAATACTTCAACCTCTGAGACAGTTTTTCAGTTAAGATCAGGTTGTAAGAAAAAAAAGTACAATTTAGATTTTTAGGTGGGGGCCAGACTGTACTCTATACATGCATACATAATTATTTTATGTGACGTTACACATGGCTACCTTAAAATTGACACTGATAAATTCTCAGAAGAGAGGTGTATACAGTATACCTGTATATGCATATTTCATTAGCAAGTTATAAAATGCATGCAGCCACACAAAGCAAAAAAGAAGTGCTTGATTGCAGAATTATAAAGACTGCAATGTAGACTCCTAAAACAGTAACAATCCCTTTGTTTTTCTGCAATATATAATGTTCTTACAAGAGACAATAGTGAGGACTTACATATACGTATTTTACAAGAGAAGCACACATGTTTTATTACAGTATTCACGACTAGTTAGTCTTTTTGACTGTAATTCCAGTAAGGGAATTATTAATTTAATGCTGTCTTCAAGTAAGATGCATGTTTTTAATTATAAACACATATATAACTCAAAGCCTATAAATACATCACTAGTACAGATTTTCTAGGAAAAGGTTAGAAGACTGTTGGTGTTATGCTGTGTCTGAATGAAATGGGGATAGAAAAGAAAAATGTCTTGACTCCTGTGGTCCTCATGTCTTGGAGCCCTATCAAATGTAATCTGATCTTTAACTCTTTCTTTCCTCACGTTTCCCTTACAGAGTGACAGAATTGTAGCAGAAAGTACAGATTTATGTTGTTGGAACAAGAAGTAGAGTTCCATGCATTTCTAGATTTTGCTTCTTTTGGAAATGTTTAAAGGAGATTGGCATAAGATAAATACTTCAGTATCGTAGTTGTGTTTTATTCACTTCCAATTTCTTCATACTGACGTAGAGACATTATTACCACAGACCTGACAGTAGGAGTCTCAGGCAGGGTTTAATTTTGAACTACTAGTTCCTGGGTTGCGCCTCTGTGGACTGAGGGCATACTGTAACAATTTAACTGCACTTCCTCCCCAGCTCTGACAAGCAGATAAGAACACAAAATAAGTCAAGGAGTTTAATTTCTGTTTTAGATTTGGAAAATGTAACAGTGTAATGGAAAGGCTTACTGCTACCTACTTAGACATAGCTTTAATGTCGAAACAATCAAGCATTAGTCAGTTTGTTCTCTTTTGGTCAACAATTGCAAGAGTTAAATGTTTTTGGATTTACCAGTGTTATTCTATATGGATTGCTGAGCACAGATATTGACCTTTTAGCACTTCACAATTCTCTTTTGCACATAAAGTCCAAGACTTACCTCTAAACTCTGTAACATGGTAATGGTAAAATAAAACACAAGTAGTGTGTATTAATCTATAGACAGAAGCTTTTGTCTAATAAATAGTAAATAATCTTTTAAACAAATGACCCATTATATCAACACATTATATCACCTTCAATAACTGCTTATCTAATAATTCAGGGTCACAGTGGCCCAGAGCCGATTCCCAGGAAGCATTGGGCACAAGGTGGGTGGGATACACTGGATGGGATGCCATATTTTAAATATACATATATTTAAAATGCATAATACGTATTCATAGTACATAAGTATTATTTCTAGATTTAGGAAGTATGATAGGAAATTAATATTTAAATGGAAAAAAAGATGTTAAAGTAAGGTTACAAATGTGTTCATTGATAAAGGCATTTGTAACCTTGAAAAGGTTTGAGTGTATCAAATTTATTTTGGGGGCTGCTTAAAAAATTGCAGTGTGTGATCGATGATATATGTTTGATTCTCTGAAGTGTTTGATATGTCAGTGACGTCTTGGCTCTTAGAAAGCAACCAGTGGTCTGGAAAGATGCTTCGCTGAGACATCATGTCTCCCTTGAGAGCTGGAATTTTGGCAAAGTTGTACTCTCTATGGTATGCATTAAGCACCCTTCAAAAATCCAGAAATGGTAATAGCTGTGAGTGTATTAAAGATTTAAATTATCCATGGTGATTAGAATTTTCTGTGAGGGTTATACAGGTATTCATCATAAACTGAAGAATGTTCTGATCACTGCTACTGTACTTGCTGTTCCATACTGTCAGACAGGTGATGCAATTGAATGAATGTGACTTTCAACTCATACTTGGGAACAAACTTGGAAATTGAGAATGCACATCAGAAATAAGTATTATGTTCCACCCGTATTATTGTAAAAGTAATGACATAATTAGAACTAATTAGAAAGGTACATTCTGTCCTCTTCTCAATTGTAGTTGTACCAGTTTTCCCAGGCCAATTTCTGAATTTGAGTATTTTGTATTTAAAATTTAGAATTTTTATACACACTTCCTGTGTAACTTGAATATGAATCCTAAATAGAAAACATGTTAAATCCATGACATTACATACGTGACCATTATGGAACTATGCTAAAACATGCCAATCAGAATTAAAAAGCACAGTACATGATAGTGAGTTTCCATCGAGTACAATCATTGAAAGTTCTTTTAAATGTTATATTTCTTCAAAACAGAGTACTTAATAGTAACATACTAGTTACCAAATAGTAACCAAAACTAGAAAATCTATTTTCCTTTAAAATCTATTTAAACTTTAAACTTTTACTTTAAACAACTAACCCTTAGCACTCATAAATATAATATACTATACAGTATATATTATAAATTGTTTTGTTTCTTATTGCACCATATACAATTTTCTTTCTCAAATTTCAGAGACAAAGATAGCTTTGTGGTATTGAGGTATGTTGTTCATTGCAGCTTTTATTACATAAATCTATATTATCCCAGGTCATCATTCCACTGATGAGGATGACATGCAGAACTGCTCTTTTAAGATATTCCTGTTTATTAGCAGTGCTTTCTTTGACCACCATGTTCAGCTCCCAATCAGTTTTGGAAAAAGCATTAAATACATCATGCAGGTCTTTTTCATTCATGTGCATATCTGCCATAGGAAGAAATGAAGAATTTAGTGTTTTTCTTTGTTAACATTCTTATTTCCTGATATTTATAGTGCATATTGACCCATGATGTGTTTACATGTGAACTCGTACGTACTGTAGATGGTTTCTTATGTCATCATTTATTTCACAACAAAGTACTTGTAAGATTTGTACAACAGTCATAGCAACTAAACATTATAGTGCGAGTCACCTTATGACTTTGCTTAGGACATCAGGGGAACATTTAGTGCATAATGAATCATTAATGTACAGCATTGTATCTGCAGTTATTCAAAGTGTACTGTGCCAGGTCATGTACAGTATGACTCAGGTGAAAAATTGTATTCTTCTCTTCTTTTTATACATTTGACATGAAGAACATCCGTCGTATTCTTTAGAGAAAAATCAGGCCGTGAACGTGCTAGGAGGAGCACAAGAACAGCAACCTGGTTCCTGTGAAAGGAAAACTGGCTTGATAAACGGCTTGATAAATAGGCTTGAGAATTCACTCATACTTATTACTTCCTGTATGATAAAACTATTTGCACTTCCAACTGTAATTGAATAAACACCCAGAAGCTCAAACCCTAACTGTGCTACAACCTTCTTCACAGCATGTAGAAAAAGAAAAGTACAATATTACTGTAAATTAGGAGGTGATGCTGTATGAAAGTGAAGTCCACAATACAAGTTATAGTGCCTGCAATGCATTGCATTAAGTCTCATCTCAAGGGGTTTTATCCAACTGGTCATTTATCCAAGAGGTCATTGAATTTAAAATTCATTAACACTTTGGAGATATCCACCCATAATCCGAAAGCTGCTTCTTTTTGGCTAGAGCTGCAGCAACCCAGGGCCTGTGCCAAAAGCACACGACACAAGGCAGGTCTACACCCTGGGTGGGACAGGTGGCAGTCCACCACAGGACATGCACACACAAGCCCTTGGGGATAATATAGAGACGCCAGCATATCATCACAAAGTAGGAGAAAAATCAAGCTTACATAAGATGAACGCAGTAGGTGCCCCGTTCCAAACTCACACCCAGGAGCCCAGGGCTGTGAGGCAGCAGCACTCAACTCTGTGTCACTGTGCTGCCCCCTTCTTCAGCATCTAACACACCTAATGTAAGAAAAAATAATTTAATGTTCTTTGTAGAATTTAGCAAGAGTCGATTTTTATTAAGGGAAGCCAACAATATCATGTCCTGTGACAACACAAAGACATGATACAGGCTTATTGGAAGCTCTTCAGAGAATTTAAAGGCATCCCAGTTTACCTCTAGGAAACACAGCAGATGAAATGAGCCAAACTGTGGTGCTTTGAAGTGCATATTGACCTATGGTGAGATTACATATGCTGTAAAATAGCTTGCTGGATGTTTCCCAAGTGGTCATTCATTTGATAAGAAATCTTTTATAGCTCTCATTCAGCACTCGCAACAAATAATGCCTATAGTATAATGTATTTTAGCAATCTACTTGCATGATATTTGGAAAAAGTAGTTTTGTAAGAATTTTTTGAGAGGGCTTATACTTGTCATATAGGATAGAAATATGGATATTCTGTTCATGATGTGATAGTGTTTTCATTTTTTCTTTTTCCAAAGTATTTTGGCTGATGAATCTGAGGCAAGAGGAGAGATTTCCCATTTTGAGGTAATTGTAACTATATCTGGTCAAGTGGTGTACCATGTGACTCAAGGACCCTGGTTAACACTTGTGAAAGATGTGTACTGCTATTCATCAGCCACCGTGGGAAAGAGGAGGCGTCTGTGAGCATACTTAGGCTGTGATAGTGGATGCCAAAGCATGCAGCTTGTCATTCTGTGCAATAGCTGCATTAATAATATACCAGGCACGACAGTCTCCCAGGTACTCTTTAAGAGGCAATATTTACAGGAATCGATAATAGAAAACACATTTATGTCGAAGTATTGATGGATCAAACCTGTGATGCGTGAAACACATTACTATAGTAAGAGTTCTGTAGATGTGGAAGAAAAATAAAAATTCAACGTATTCATGAAACATTTGTTTTCATTTGAATTACTTGCCGAGTACGATTTATTAAGCTTCAGTTTCGATTCTCATTTTTTATTAAGAAGTAGGGGCACTGTAGCCTTGGGAATTATTACAGTTTGATTACACTATATTTCATTAGAACATGTGACAAATGTGATCAAAAACAAATCTGTAGTCTCAGTATATATTATGTCATGTCATTGTGGATAAATGTATTGAAATATTTTATAGTCCCTGCATATGTTAATATGTTGCAACAGATTTTTTTATTTTGTATTTAAACTTAAAATAATTATCTTAAAGTTTAGACTGGTCATGATCTTCCTGCTTGTGTACAGTCCGTCCAACTCTGTATGGTTAATAAGAAAAGGTGATGTTAAATTTCTAAGTTTCTATTCGGTTGACAAAATACACAGATTAGAATAAGAAATGCTTACAGAAGAGAAATGTAATACTCAGTCTCATTTTTTTTTCAATCAAATCATTTATAAATAAATTATAGAAAATATTTTCAATGTGCAAATTTCTTACTTGTCGAAATAAAAACATTAAAGTTGGTAATGTTGGGGTATCTTCTCCCTGAGCATTACCAAGTCTTGTCTTCTGGTGCAGACAAATGCACCTGCTCATTTTCTGGACAGAGTGCTGTGTAGTGCCCTGTCACATTTCCCGTACAGCTGCAGCTAGCTGGTCATGGTTCTCTCATGTTGTGGTCATTGGCGAGCTGGTCCCACAGATGTTCTTTTGGACTCATTTCAGGGGAAAGAGCTGGCCAAGACAAGCCCTCGACATTCCTTTCTTGTCTTGCTAGAAAATCTACATTTCAAGATTGCCTTGAAGAAATGGAAAACCCGCTGGCTAAAGGGTTTCATCAGCTCGGTATCACTGAGCAGTAAGGTTGCTTTCAGTCTGCTCTACTCAACTCTCTGTGCCACCACATCAGTTGCCCTTTGACCCACAGAAATTGGCAGTTTCATCTCTTTAACTTTCACCCCCAGCTTTCAGTTATGAGAAAAAAATAATGAATAGATAACAACCCGCCTGACTAATAAAGCTTCTATATTGATGTGAAACACCTGTACCAAGTGTGTGGTTATCATTTTTCATGCTCTGCTAAGATAATCACTTATTTCTGCTCTATTATGGTACACATACCAGTGTTTGTGTTACATTCCATTTGTAAAACATTTCAAACATTTAGAAAGAGAAGAAGACAGCAGCTGGACCGCTCTTGTAGTTTCTTTCTCATGTTAAATAAGGAAAGTAAATCAGTTCCAAGCAGCACTAGAGGCGAGGTGTAGGTTACTTTATATTTTGATTAATCAGATAGTATTGGGGATGGGAACATGGGTTTTAAGACTAAATCAATTTCCCCAGCTAATTCATGGAAGATGCAAGGTATCATTAGCTCAAAATACAAACAAAATATTGACAACTGCATGCCTGTTTACACTGTTCCAAAAAATAACTTTGTTACTTAACAGAATGATGTTACTTAAATTAACAAGGGACCCTCAGCAGGATTTGATTTTCACAGAGGTACCTTGGAAAAGTAATTTCACGTTATTTGTCACCAGGTGATCTTTTGTCCTCTTCTGGCATGGTCCTGTTAAATGGCTTTGTGGTTGATTGGATTAAATGCTCTGTTCTTATGTTTTGTTAAATAGCAAATTAAAAGTATTTTTTTAATAGTGGTAGTGTGGGTGTGTTTCCATTTCATGTTTATGTTGCAGTTTGTTAAATCTGCTAGACAGTATAAAATGCAACAAAGTTATTTCTTTAAAATGGCACGTTTCATCTAAAAATGTCCCCGTCTATTGTGGCTGCCATTGGACTTTCTTTTGTTTTATTATATGTAGTTGTGTGTTCTGGGTCACAAATTCTATTCTCTTGCTGTCAGTGCTTTGAGAATAGCTTGGACCAGTTCCTGCTGGCAAGTGTACTGTGAACTTGGCTGGATATAACTTTTCAAACCTTGTGCAGATGACAGTTTCACAGCAGTGAACAAAGCTACATGGTCGGGCATCCATCACAGATTTGTATTTGTATTTCCAAAATACACGTTCTGGACACCTAACACATTGCCTTATACAGTACAGATATGCTGTGGAGGACTATGTGTCATGCATATCCACACACGCAGACACCTCCAAAAATACAGTGCCTAAAAACATTAGAAAAACAAGCCCTCCTAATTTGCACAATGTTTAGGAACACCTGTTTTCACCAAACAAAAAAATAATAATTTGCAGATTTATTCTAGGAATTAGAATAGCAGCTATTCCTATGACTCAAAAGTACATTCCAAATATAATCATTGGGTGCTGTACTGTACCTGCTAAACTGGAATATACAGTACATATACAGTAATATTATGTAACTTTTAAGCATGTATATTGGACAGTGTTATCAAATACTGTCTATGGTGAGTGGTAAAATAATGAGAACTGCAATCAAAATATTTATTCCTCAAAAGAAGATAATAAATTCAACAAAATAGATCATGCACTCTATTGTTTGGTGTAAGTTGACCCCTGTTATCAACTATTATGAAGTGTACAGCTTGTGTCATCGACACATGATGTACTGTACAAAAGATGTATCATAATACACATGATTTACACTTTATACTGCAGTAACATATTAACAAAAAACGGTTTTGTCAATGACAGTTCAAAGTAAATCTTTAAAAATGTTGAAAGTGGAGAAAAAACTTTGGTGATGATGGTATAAATTCTATTAGAAAATGTATTATTTTAAGCATTAAAAGCTTTAAAAGATTACAGAGCTCTAGGTGGCTAAACAGTTGCGTTGTGGCAATTGAGGGAAGGCCACGTTAGTCTTATTTAAGTGTGTTTCATTTTCTAACTTTTTAGGGCTGTCCACAAGGAACTGTTCCTCCAAGTATAAAAGAAACAAAACATACATAAACATAGATCATTAAGTCTAGTATAGATTTGAGACTTGAACAGACTATTTTTTCCCTTCTTGGATGCTTACATATTTCCAGAGGAATAAAGCTATTGTCCCTGAGAAATTTAGAAATGTGACTGAATAAGAAAATAATCTTAATCACAGTTTTACGGTAAAGTAGATCTGCTCTTCTAAATTGAGCATTTTTTGGAATTGGATTCCTTTCACAATTGATTGCTGCATATCTCAAGGCTATAAAATTACTGTTAACATTATCCTACTGTATGGATACTGTATACTGTATACTGTATACTGTGCTGGAAGAGGTGTTAGAGGGGCCAGCAGGGGGCGCTCACCCTACGGTCCATGTGGGTCCTAGTGCCCCAGTATAGTGACGGGGACACTATACTGTAAACAGGCGCCGTCCTTCGGATGAGACGTAAAACCGAGGTCCTGACTCTCTGTGGTTATTAAAAATCCCAGGGCGTTTCTTGAAAAGAGTAGGGGTGTAACCCCGCGTCCTGGCCACATTTCCCCTTGTCCCTTACCAATCATGGCCTCCTAATAATCCCCATCTATGAATTGGCTTCATTACTCTGCTCTCCTCCCCACTGATAGCTGATGTGTGGTGAGCATTCTGGTGCGCTATGGCTGCCGTCACATCATCCAGGTGGTTGCTGCACATTGGTGGTATTGGAGGGGAGTCCCCATTACTTGTAAAGTGCTTTGAGTGGAGTGTCTAGAAAAGCGCTATATAAGTGTAAGCAATTATTATTATTATTATTATTATTATTGTATTGTATGCAAATCATTGTTTAAAGGAAATCCTTCAAAGTACATTTGCCTGACTCAGGTTATGAAAATCCATCTTTTGGGAAAATTGCTGAGTATTAGTTCTTTGAATCAAGATTTCAAACTGATTTAACAAAGTAAAAATATTTAGTCTTCACTTAAAGCTTTCAAAGACTGCATGATTTTATCTTCCAGATAAAATCATTCTGTTTTCTTCCACCAGTTTTTAGTGTATTCCTGCTAACTCGCTACGAAGGTAGTGCTGAGGTTAAAATACTTTCACTGTATCAGTACTTTCAATTCTAAATTATGTTGAATTACCTGTATGGAATTATAATGAAGTTATAAGAAAATTTGTGAGGAAAGTTAGATTTTAAAATCTCAGCCTTCCGCTTGCCTGCATATGTGTAAGTCTTGTACCTGGGACTTCCCATAGCGAGTTTCTGTCATATCCAGACTGAAGACCTATTACTTCAGCCTAGCCTACTCACACCTTACATCATAGCCTGCTGCAACCGTGGCTGCTGCTGCTGCTGTACATGCCATTGTGTGTCTCTGTGTTGGCCCACCAGGTAGATACATCTGTTCTAACAAACTATCCTATTCTCCTCCCCACATGTCCGGATGGCGTCCAGACTGGGCACCATCTGAGTTGGATGCGGCATCACTGCCATGCATCCAAGAGGGATATCGTGGATATAGCTATCATTTAGGTGGATTTTGCTGGTCTACAGAGATCTGCATGGAGTACTGACATACAGAAGACATGATGGATGGATTAATACCCTCATTTATTAATTTCTCTTTTTAATTGTATAATGTTAGCCAGTTGACCTTGGACCCCTAAAGGTTTTTCTTCTCCTTACTAAGGAGTTTTTGGTTCCTTTCCTCCATTGTCTTCTGGTCTTCTCTGTTTTGTATTCACAACATGTATGGTCACTTGCATTGTTAAGCACCTTCAGGCAACCTTTTTGTGAAAGGCGCTATATAAAATAAATTGAATTGATTGAATTGAATATCCCTCTCGCCACCCCATCTACACCCCTACAGCAACCCCCTGCCTCATCCTTACAATACAGAAGGAATCAGGCAGCCCTATCCTTACGGTGAGGCGGCCAAAATCCCTTCAGCCAGGTGATCTGCGCCAAATATATTCTGCATATCGAGTCTCTCTCGACTTTATTAGGATCTAGCCAAACTACTGAAAATTCACTTTACACAATCATCCTAGTCTTCCTTAGCTGTTTTTTCTAATTTTATTTCTCAAAAAAGATTAATGACAAACTCTAATTTGTTAACAGTCTTCAGTACAAACGTAATAGACCTGGAGAGCTCTACCATGCCTGGATGAAGTGTGTAAATCAGTCTCATCCTCTCCCCTGTTGTAAATCATTCTGCTGTTTGTTCTATCTGGATCTTGGCCCTACCAGTTTCTTCATACATCCTGCAAGAAGAGTGACACTTCATTAGTATGTGTGTGGAGGGAGGATCAGGGGTTGTCTCTTTAATGTACAGTGAAGTAACTAACACCTGTGGAGCTGGTGTCTCGGTGCCAGCTGGGAGTAAGACGTCACTAGAATCATACGGAGGGAATAAGCACAGGGAAGAGTCCAACAGAAGAGTTTTGTAAGAGAGGTGTGCCGGTTTTAGAGTGCTCTTAGAGAGGTGATTGCAGTCCTGGTGACTGTGATTCAAGTCCCTGGATATTAACTGCAAAACCCTGCCTACTGACTACAAGCCCTGCTTTCTCATTGTCAGTACTCTATGATTTATTTGGCTGTGGCACTTCTGAGTTATAATTTAATGGTCTTGATATGAAGTGAAGTTAACAATCTCTCCTTTTCCTGTTAACAGTCCTATGTATTACTTATTTTTTTTATTTAAATGTTGGGGAATTCTTTATCTTATACTACTAAGCCTCTTCAAAAACTAATGACATCCCCCAAAACTGCTTTAATCACTGAAAGAACTGCACTTCATAACAAGGTACTTACAGTATGTTAAATGAGATAATCTGTTATCATTAAATATGTTCTCTTTAGCTACAATTTTAGCCTTGTTTTTTGGGTCTGAATTGAAGGTATGGGAAATATATGTTAGGCTGCTGAGATGCCTTTAAATCATATATTGAGAATCTATTGAGAAACAAAATTTGTTGGGCAACTAGCTTAAAGTGCATATGTTGAACTCTGTTGTCAACAATGTTCTATTAAAAGTCTTATTTATTTCAAACAGCTTCATTTTGTGTTTGTCTGTATATATAGAATGCACACACACCTAGTGAGTGTATGTATAAAACTATAGTACAATAATGTGTTTACTTACTGTATACAGACTGAAGTCAAAGGATAAAAAGCTCTTCAGGACTTCCCAGAT